GTAGAGGGTGGAGCAAGCATCTTCAGTTTTCTCTGAGTCCTAAGTGTCCCTCCAGATACAGTTTTTCCAGTTCATGCTTTACTCTCAAATTATGGAGCCCACCTTCCTGTCACTTGCCTTTTCCCAAACCTGCCAGCAACGTGTCCTTCCCCTCTCTGTGCCTCCACATTTCTCTTTGTCATCACCTCAGCTTCCATGCTAAGTCCCACCTCTGGTAGCTCTTTCTCTTTTCCTTCATCTTAAAATTCTTCCAGGGTACCAATGTTGTGATATCATCTCTTTCCAGAAGATACCACCATCTTGACAGAGTATTCACCCACATCCTCTCTTCCCTAACATGACCTGGGTACTGCTAAACACAGAGTTGAACGCTTTCTTCTTTGAGAAGACAGAAGCTGACGAGGATGAGGGCCTTACACCTCCTCAGAGGTTATCACTGCTTGTATTCACAGCTTGTGTCAGTCTTATTTTGGTGCAGGAGGAGAACCTGACATCAACACCAACTGTTTCTTTCGCTTTCAGGGTGTCAATACTGCGACGTGCAGCAAAAACGAACTCCGCAAACCAGTACTTTAAGCAACTCAAGCAATCTACACTCTTTGACAAAATGAATTAATCTACAGCCATTTTCTCCCTTCAGCCTTTCTTTTTCAGACACACAATTCCTGCTCATGCCCCCTCCCAAGGAGATGGCTCTTGCTCCTGCAGACTTTTCCCCAGTCAGGCCCAGCCGCTGACCAGTCACCCCGCAGGTCACCCAGTAGTCCTGTTAATAGTTCATAGGGCTTCTCGTTTTCCAAGAGTATTTTCATGTGAATAGAGGCTCAAAGTTCAAAGTCTCTCCTTTGCAGGCTGTGCATTATTACCCTCTCAGTCCACGTTGACACAGACAGATAACAGCAAGAAGGTAGAGAAGATCTGGATTCAAATTTACGTTTGTAAGTTTGACACTGATGTGAGTATGGATCATGAGAGGGTCAAGGTAAAATAAACAAACTCTGCAAAGCCAGGTCCTTTCAGCAGGGCAGCTACCTCTTTGTTCTGCCAGGGACCTATTTACCCACAGTAGGTAGCACTTAAGTCAGCTACTTTGTGTCTGTGTCCTCTCTCGTTAACAAAGAGACCATCTTTACAGTTTCTCTTTAGGAGAAAGTAGATAATCATAACAAGAAAAAGCTAAACAAAGATTGATAGAAAAAATATGATGTCTCCTTATCCAGGATTAAGAAATAATTTTACATCTTCTTTCCTGCCCAAAGTCCTAGGCACAACAGTAAAAGCCGGTGAAGCAAATCCTACATCCCTCTATTTGCCAATTCAAGGCCTGTAACAGCATGTGGGTGCAGCAGCAATGCCAGCACAGCCGCGATGTTTAACCAGCTTCATTCACATCCTAGCTGCACTCAGGAACATTTGGAAACCCTCCATTTTAGATTTAATAGGTTTTCTCAAAGACATATCTTTTCGGGAAGGCACAAAGAGGCAGTCAGCTTTTCCCACAAAGGCTAGAAAACACAAGGACCGAGATCTTCCCACTTAAAAGCCTATTCCCAACAGACGCAGAAGCATGCAAGAAGATTTATGCAGCCTGATATAGATTAAATATACGTTAAATGTAGTAAATTCTTAGAAAAGCTTATAAAAGGCAGGATGTACAGAGCAGTTGGTTACAAGGGATGCCAGCTCCCGTCAATCACTGCTGTCTCACTGACAAGTGGTTTCATACTCTGCCTGCGACCCACGCTGGGGCTATGCCCCATCAGGAGGTTACCCCTGGGCAGGCAGCACCCATCCTTCTCACCGTGTGGGGCTGACCCACCCCAGCCACGTACTCAGTCACCCAGTAACCATCTCAGAGCGTGTCCTCACCAGGGGCTCTGGATACCGTATTGTTCCCTACAGGCACAAAGGGAATGAGCCCAGCCTCATAGCCCTTTCCTTCGTGCCCTCGCCCTGCTCCAGGCAAAGGGCAAAGGCTTCACTTTGGTTAACGAGGCTGGAGAACAGTCCCACCGTGGTTTTCAACCACCACTTGGTTTTGGTTTTTTTTTTTTTTTTTTTGGAAGCAAAATCACAAAGCAGCAACTCCTGCGCTCTGAAGAGAAGTGAAGCAGTGGGCCTTGGGGAGTGACAGAAGGAAATTAGTCTTCAAACCTTTCTTTATTTTGGGAAGCTGTGCTACAATGAGAGAGATCCCAAATCACTCGGTCCTTGGAGTCTGAGAGCAGTGTGCAGTGTCTCCCTTCAGAGATGGAGGAGCGGCTGGAGAATTACAAACCAGTGAGCCTGGCTTACATGTCTGGGAAAGCTCTAGAAAAAACAAAACAAAACAAAACAAAACATTATGAAGGTGTTAAGGATTTCTCAAGAGCAAATTGTTTCAAAATTATCTACTTTCTTTTTTTCTGGCAGAGCAAATAGCCTAGTGGATAGGCAATTTTACAAATTGGGTATTTTTTACTAAATAAGGTATCTGAACACACTTCCTACATTTTTTTTTAATTAAAGGTTAGGACACTAGAATTGTCTCCAAACATCCTATCTTCACATTCCTCTCTGGATGGGGTAAACAGGAAATCTTGCATAATTGCCAATGTTCCTTACACCAGTTTGGCATTAGCCTGGTGCCAAAGGGCATTTAACACCTTTGCTCTTAAGAACCACCAACAGCTTAATTACTGTTGGAATTATGACTATGGAAAAAAACAACAGCCCAGTTGTTGAGCAAACATTAGAATGAGCTGAACATTTAATTTCTCAATCAAGTTGTCTTTGTGCAGCTCTCTGGACTCACCTCCCTTCCAGGGCAAGGTATGAGTGAAGCAGAGCGATGGGCCAAGAGTCTTTATCCTGTTTTAGCAATCATCTGGTCAAGTAGCACAGGAGCAGTGTTCTTGCTAATGACCTGAAGAACAAGTGTCTAAAAGGTACCTGACATGAGGTTTATAGTAGACTTCAGGTAAGTGCATTAAAATAGTGCACTTTGGAAAATCCAGTTCAATGGCCAAGTATGTTCAATAGTTCTTAGTGAATAAAGCTCATTTCTTGGCCTCCTGGATCTCGTATTTCTTTCTGGACTGTGTCCCAGTTCAACTGGAGGGGTCAAACATACCACCCAACCTTGCCCATGTCACATCCCCTTTCAAAATGGGTGGGACGTTGTCCTGGGGCACGTGGTGTCACCGCCCGCTGCCTGATCAGAGCTCAGAATCAGATCTACTGCTTGCCAAAGGCTACCGCATAAGAGGGATGGGTGCTGTGGGTATTTGAAAAGGAAGAAATCAGCCCAGCTTTGTTCTTTCAAAACTGCTAGGAGGGACAGCTGGCCAGGAGAGGGATGCTGGTTCTGGAGAAAACGGCTAATTCTAGGGTCAATCTGCATACAGCCCCACGGAAACTGTGCTTAACGTTTCTGCATGGCTAACCACAGCTTCTCTGCTCCTCCATGCATGGGTTATTGTGGGAGATTATCCTCATGGGGCATCAAGTACTTACTCCCTGCTCATAGTGTCTGAGGGATAATTCAAGGCTTTGAATAGCAATGGTGGAAAGGCCAAATACCTGAGAGAAAGACACTGAAACATCTGGTCTGGTAAATGATGGGTGTTACTGACTTCTCCATAGCACCACAAAGTGTCAGCATTAAGGATCTGAAAATGTGTAACGATGTGCTGTGTATCCTTCCAGGCAGTAAAAAGATAGTAAATTCAATACAGAGGATAGATTTCACTGGATATCAACAGCTCTCAAGCATTTTCAACTAATGAAAGGATCACAGTGGTTCAGTGAATCCAGCATAGGCCAGATTTGCCCTCCCAGAAAAGAAAGACATGGGGAGAGTAACGTAGTGAGAAACCTGGGCAGATATATACAGCACTGAAGTCAGGGACAAGGACTTCAAACTCAATGCTGAGCAAAGAGACAGAAGAAAGCTGACAAGAAGTGAGATTACTCAAAGTAGAGATGGAAGCTCAGGAGGAAGAGAAGAGAGGAAAGAGAAAATCTAAAGGGTAAAGGGAAAAAGGAGGAAAATACTTGAAATAGGAGAGGAAGAGCATTCTAAGAAGGGGAATAAGAAGGTGAAGCCATGCATGCAATAAGAACATACGTAAAGCAAAGGGAAGTCCGTGTGCATGGGTGCAAGTATGACCCTTAACAGGACAACTCTATGGACCATCTTGTTTTGGGACCACGGGCCATCCTGGTAGCTCACAGCCTGTCTGTAGCCTGACTGTGTGTGGTCATTCTGCATTTTCATGGTAATATCTGAATGCAGAAAAAGAAGAAATTCATTGCATATTTTAAATATGGTTGGATAGTTTATTTTCAGCAGCATAAATGGTGTCCTAAAGACAAGACAGATGAATTCACAACAAGGCAAATGGAAATTGGCTAGCAAGGATGTTAAAATGGAGCCTGTACAAATAGGTCTGATCACCAAGAAAACACCATAGGGGGAGTCCCACAGCAGAAGAACAGTCCAGTTCAAGTCATCACTCTTAAAATGTTTATTAAAATCTGCCGTATCATTGCCAGTACATCGCTGTAACATGAAAAGACAAACCAGGAATCAGATTCTGCTTTGGGAACCACACAGACTTGAAAATCCAGACCTGATCATCAGAAAGTTCAACAAAACTAAGCTCGAGCTTGAAGAGATTTATGGAAAGTCACAGGAGCTATCAAAATGTAACACAGATTAACTTTACCTCTCGAATCTATTGCACCAAGCAACGGGCCCACAGAAGAAGGAATATATTCCGTTCCAAACAAGCACGCTCCCAAGTGGGGGTTTAGAAATCCTCACCCAGATAAATCCTGTACTTCATTGGACTTCTACTTGTCAGAGTTACTACAAGATGCAAGCATTTCTTCTTTGCTATTTGGCATCAGTGTTCAAGCAGCATAGAAATTCTGTGGGATCCCTTTCACACCCAGGCCTGTTATCTGTTTAAAAAAAAAATAAAATAAAAAATGAAAGAAAGGAAGCAGATACAGCTCTAACAGGGTACAATGAAAACGTTCAAATGTTGTACAACAAATATCGTAACAACGTAGCCTACGTGAAGGGTCCCCTGCTTCAAGAGGAGACCAAAAAGAGTCATTACACGGAGTTCTTTAGAACTCTAAGATTACGATCTTTATCAATCGCCACTCAAGAATTTTGTTAATTTACACATTATCTGTGGCCCTTCCATGTGGTCCTTATCTCCATATTAGCCGAACAAGTCATAGAAGCTTTGAATGTGCTTTGCCCTTGCAAGACAAGTGTGAGTTTGGAAAATACCGATTCCCTTCTAGAACCGAAGAACCAAGGAACGGAGATAAAAAAGGCAAGGCTCATTTCATCCTCCTGTGGGCTCATGAACTCCACGGATTGAGAAATCTGTCAGTTCTCAGCCATGAGAAATCTGCTCCAAGCACTGCTTTCACCTAGAAGGCCCCAGACCCCAGATTAAACCTTCATCCCACCTGGAACATGTCTTCTTCCTATCGCCAAACTGATAATATAGTTTGGGTTTGTTTTGTTTTGTTTTTTTCATATCCCCTCATTTACAACTCTTCCCTTTCATGCTGTGGTCAACTTTCAGGGAATGATGGCGAATGCTGTTTAAGAACTGTATTTTATTCTCCTGATGTACATTTTGCTCATGAACTGAAAAATGAAGAGATAAACAAGTTTTGGATTCAAGAGCCCTGGACAAAAATGTGGATGATTGGTTCCTCAAAATGTAGCACCCACTGTTAACAGACTAAAAAAATCCCCAAATTTTGGGCATTGGAATGCAGTATTTAATCCTGGTGAATTTAAGCATTTAATTTTTAAAGGAGAAATCCGTGCTGAAAACATTCAGATTTCATGGCACAATTGAAAACGGAGAATTAAGGGAGTGAAACTTCCCAAACTGATGAAAATATAGTAAGAGATAGAAGCAAGCCCCGGTTCCTCGCAGTGTAATACAGAATATGCTGTACAGGGCAGATCCAGATCCACTGGCTGCCGACTGGACACCGACTTCAGCCAACCAGCATATCAACACCATTACTAACAATTTCCCCAAATATTCCTTCCAAATGCATGAGCAGCTGTAAGAAGCAGCTGTGCCCAGCCAGGGGAGGAGCAGCGCATCTGGGCCAGCACATCGCGCGAGCAGGACGGGCGAGGGCAGCTGGGGGCTCCTCATTCTCAGAGCAGGAGGTTTGGGAGGCCTGGCGTATAGAAAGAAAGAAAATCTGCTCGCCTTGAAAATCTCTCCTGCGTGAGGTTCCTTGGCTAAGGTGGTCTCGTCCAGTCCATCGTATGCAGACGTCACGTACATTTCTGAGTAGTCTTTTCCACCAAAGCAGCAAGAGGTGATCCTCGGAGTAGGCAGCCTCACAGTTTGGATTCTTTTTCCTGGGAAAAAGGTGGAATTGTTTCCTAATGTCCATTTTCTAGGAAGCATGTAAATATGAATGTGTTATTAGTGCCCATGGCATGGACGTGGCATTTACTCAGAAGGTATCTCCCCTTCAGAGGCCATGTCCTAAAGGACACTTTGTAGGGAAATCGAAGTCTTTTTTCACCTGCCTCATCTCATTTCAGCCTCTCCCCTATATCTGCAGGGCTTTGTTTCCTTTTCTCAAAATGAAGCTGTACAGCATGAGAAGCCAGGAAGGATAAAGACACCCGACCTGGGATGGCTGTCAATCCCTGGCAGCGTTTCCCATTTCAACGCTGAGAATTTTTTCTTTTTTAATTGCAGGTTTATACTATTTCTTACAATAGGTGTGCAGTGCTTTATAATATTTCTTACAATAGGTATGCAGTGCTTTTTTTTTTTTTTTTTTTTTCCTTTTTTTTTTTTAGTGCCATTATTAAGAAGTCCCAACGTTGGGAGGCAGCACTGGGAGATGCGTGCTCCGCACGACTGGGGCCTGGACCAGCGACGCTCATGGCAACCCACGGGGCAGGAACAGGCACTAAACGACATCTTCTCATCTCACCTTCAAACCGTTCCTCCCGGCTGCCTTTCCTCTCGTGTTCGTGTCACGCAGGTGGCACTCAGGGTGCCACCAGCAGTACCCACGGGCTGGTGGAGGCCTTACCTGTCTCTGGGTCTATACGGATGACTCTCCCGCCGTCGATACAGGCCACCCAGAGCTTCCCTTCTGTGTCTACGCACATCCCATCGGGCATTTGCTCCTCCTTTTCCAGATGGTACAAAAGTTTGGGGCAGGCTGCAGGGAGAGTTACGAAGCCGGTGTTACATGGGCTGATACCAGTTCCACATAAGATCCCCGTCTAACACCTTCCATGCACTTGCAAACAGGAAAGTTCCTTTTCTTTGAAAAAGTTGCGCTGCAAAATGTATATCACATATGCAGTTTGCAGATGGGTTAAAAGCCTAACTTAGCCTGGCAGAAGCGAGGCCCTGGTACAGGCGTTGCCGTTTGGGATTGTACTGAATTAGGGCTCCTTTTGCCAAGGGAAGAGAATAAAATGTCCCTGCCCCTCTTGTTAACCCACTAGCTGCCCGCCGTGCCGTGCCTGCTGCAAGTGCAGTAACTCTTCCTGGACTCCCATTGCTCGTGGCAGCCTGGATGTCTTTTTATGAGCGGTACATCACAAAAATAATGACTTGGGTTTAAGTGTTAGTGATAAGCAATGTCTGCCACCTAAAGATCAGAAACTTTACTTTTTAATAGCCGACCAAGGTACCAGTTTTGATTAAACCTGGACACCAACCAGGAGCGGTCTAGGCTGCAGTGAAGATGGGTTGGTGGGCATGTGCGTGGTCTGGGGGGCAGTGCCCATGGGCAGTGGTCTGCCTGCTCTGACCCAAAAATAAAGAGTCACCAGCATAAAGCCAAGGCTAGGAAGCTCAAACACATTACGTTTTTGTATTTGGGGGAAAAAGTTGCATTAAATCTTCTTTAGGAATATTATATCCTAAGATCTTTACAAACAGATCTTCTCAGCAAAATGAAATCCGAGTGACTGTAATTATCTTGAATGATTTTCACCCACGTTTACAAAAAGTCCACACTCAGACTACAAAGGCAGTTCAACCATTTCCATTCCCATGGGGTATAACAGGTTGATACATCACAAAAATATTTCACAGAGTTCTGAAATGAGGTTACATCCATTTTGTTTGCACTTAAGTTTCCCTTTTTGCAGATGCAATAAAAAAATGTTTGTCCAGAAAATTAATTTAAGTGAAATTTGCCAAACATCTGAGGGCAATTTTAATTTCAGAATTAGGAAACCTCAGTCACAATGATAACTTGATTCTTTAAATACATTTCTGTGATATGCATGCATGCACATTCTGTATTTGTCTTTATGGAGCTAGTACAACCGAAGCATTCCAGTAGATGGCACTCAAGAATAAATGGCATCCTGTAAATTAATTCTCGCTCTGCAGTATAAATGGCTTCTTCCTGCAGCTCCTTGAGCAGGTCTAAATATGAGCCATCTATCCAGATGAAAGTAAACTGAAAGACTGTCAAAAGTTTGTTCACTAAACACACCTGGTGTGTAACTAAATTTGAGAAAAATCACAGCCAGCCCGCTGACAAGCTGTAACCAGAAGATATGAGATCTGTCAAATAAATCACTGCATTTTACATGCCCAGGTCTTGCTGCAGAAAGAGTAACAGCGCTACTTGTCACCGAATTTAGAAAAGCACGTGTACCGATCTTTCCAGTGTGTACATCATAGCTGAAGGCATGCACAGAGTACGCCAGGCTGTCGATGTGAAAAAAGGTCCTGTGGTCCAGGGACCAATCCAGACCGTTGGAGATGTCCATCTGCTCTAACTGTTTTATTGCTGAATGGTCGGGGAAAAGGGTATAGAGAGCTCCTTGCCGCCTCGCTCGGAGCCCCGGTGCTGTCTCTTCAGCCATCGTACCTGGAATGGAAATAGGAATGCCGGTTAGGAAGTAGAAGCTTGTTCCTCATGCTTGATCAAAAACCTCTTTTAAGTGTTACTAAGAGGCCCTAGGGAGAAGGGGACTAACCATGTCCCATCAGACTGATAAGGAGGAGGAAAAGGAACGGGTCAGCAGCAGCTGCCTCCCACACAGGTGATCCTGGCCAACAACAGGACCAGTTTCTGCAGCGCCGGGAGGTTTAAGTTGCAGGCACCAAAGACCCCAAAGCAGCACCACAACACACCAGGGACTGAGGTTTTGCTCACAGCAAAAGCCGAGATGCAGGCAAGCATCGTGTGCTCTTTTTGTTGTTGCTCTTTGTAGGGTACTTTCATCATTTAAATGAGCTGGGACCTTAAAAGACAGGTGCTGCAAATCACAGTTGTCTCAGAAGCAAATGGAGAATACCACGGAAGTGAGATGTTTTTCTTAATGAATTTATGCCTCCGTGTTACGCTCGTTATTTAGTTTCTGATTCTCTCTTCTCCAGAAAGGAAACAGCTCTGCAGCAACAGGATGACAAGCACTGGAGGGGGGGATTTACGCCTTCTTTACACTGTGCAGACTGTCTCTGTTGGCCTCCCCTTTTAGAAGACCTTATCAGCTTGTTTTACAACGCTTGGCCTAAAGCCGTGTCGCAAGCATTGATCCACCTTGCACAGCTAGGTGCAGATGTGCAAAGCAGGATTTTCTCTCTTATTCTTGCCCTTAACTCTAGTGCCACGTCAGCCCTCGAGCGTAACCATGAGTCAAACGAATTTCCTGATTTTTTTGACAAATTTGAAATAAGAAGAAAAGGCTGACTGGCAAAACAAATACAGAGCCGTTTTCACCGCCATCACTGGCTCTCAGCTTCCAGCATGGATTGCTGTGCTTGAATCATCATTTATATGAGAGGAGGAAAAATACAAGAGGATCCTGGTTGCATTGCAACCGGTGGCAAAAGTCCCCCTTGCCTTCCAGGAGGCCGAGGCCCCCTCCCCGCACCCGTTTCCCACGGGCTAACCAGGGGAGGCTGTCTGTGAAGGGTGCAAGCTGCAGCTCATCTTCTGCTCTCGGAGCTACATCCTCCTCTGCAGCTCCAGAAACCTTTGCACCCGCGTGAGCCCTCCACCGTCTTTTCACCTCCCGTGGAGGCAATTTGAAAAACACCGTCCGCCAAGTAGAAGGGGAGCCTTCCTGCCAGAGAGCCTTTGCCAAGAGCCTCCGTCCTCATTGAGGGCAGAGGATGCGGGGCCCTTTCTCCTCCTCCGTCACGCGGCAGCCGAACCGAGCACTCACGAGACGGCTCACGCTCGTGACGGTGTTTTTTGCAGGGAACTCAATAGAGGAATCGAGAACAAGGAATAAAATGCACTATATAAAACACCCTCCAATTAGTTCCTCTTTGCTCCAGGGGGAATCCCTGCCAGGAACTCACCAGCAAAAAATCTCCCCTTTGGATCCACTTTCCCATCATTGAACCTGTTGTTCGGTTTATCCTGCTCGAGCTCGAGGATGGTGGTGACCGCCTGGGTGTCCCAGTCCAGAAAGGCAAACCTGGTCCCTAGGGTGATGAGGTAGCCCCCGCGCTGCCGCAGTGCCACCGAGCCGACGCGGGCACCTGTGGGCGAGAGGGAGCTGGAGATGGCGGGTGGCTGTGGGGCCATCAGCCAGCCCTACCCCTCCCCACCTCACTGAGGGCATCTGGGCTTGACCGGGACGTCCCCGACCCAAGAAAGGCTGAGCTGCTGCTGAGATCCTTCTCCCTCGGGATCGTTAGCGCATCTCGCTGGCTCTGTGTTCCCCAGATCTCTCCACCTTCCTGCAAGCACAGCCATTAGGGCTGTGCCTTTTGCTCTGCAAGTCCCAAATGAAACACGCTTTCCCGTTTGGACGTAGCAGGGGCAACGTGCTCATGGGCCCCCCTAAGCACTGTCCCCTCTGCTCGGCTGGCTTGGGCCACACCGTGCTCAGCGACACATCGCGGAAGGACAGGGTGCGTGGCCCCATGGAAAATAAGGGACACCAGCACGTTGTGGGGCTCCTACCGGGAGAGATGGATGGGGCGGACAGAGAAGACTCCCCGGATGAAGTGGTGAGTAGGGACTCTTACCCACGGACACGCTCTGCACCTCGTTGCTGAGTGGGCTCCAGCGGCAAACTTTCTGTGAGTTAATGTCTACATAGACAAGTGCGCTCTCCTTTTCTTCCCAGACTGGGCACTCTCCCATCCTGTTCTTCTCCTTCACGACCGATTCGATTTTGATGGAGGAGGACATGGTCTGAGGGGAAGAGAGCTGATAAGGGATTTAATGTAAAGCTCTCGTCGTGTGTATTCTTCATGCCTACCATGCTTAAAAGCAGAGCCTGTAAACGGCGAAGCCCTCCAAATCCCACGTGACAGAATAATTTAGAAGGTTCCTGTGACATTTCCATGGCCTCATGGCTGGAACTGAGCTCGAGGCGCAAATGCCTCTCCTTAGCAAACCTAAGCAGGAGACTTCAAATCAGAGCTTCTGATGAAGCACCTGCCTCCACAGCCCCGAGCCAGGACCAAGCTGTCGGCTGGGGATCGGTGATGCCAAGGGTCCCCCAGACCGTGGGGAGGGCAGCAGCAGCAATGAGCCAGAAGCCTTTTTGCAGAAAAGCAAGGCTCTGCCTTATTAACACAGATGCATGGACTTGCTCCACAGCCACAATACCGGCTGCAGTTTGCCACCCGGGCCACTGCAGACCAAGTGCCTGTTCCCACACTGAGTCAGCGTGAATATGCAAACCCCAGGGAAGGCTCCTGCCTTTGAAATCCTGCTGCTTTGCTTTCCCTCCCAGCGCTTCGTCTCCGGCCCCCCTCACCGCCCTAGCCACGGCTCCAACCCCCGCCACACACGCCGAATTTCACCCCGTGCCAGGCTGCGGGGTGCGATTACCCCAGTCGCTGCTTCGGGGGGCAAAGCCGCCTGTGAAGCTCCCACCCCGGGTGCCTGCTCCTGCCAAGGGGTGTTGATGCCCCGGCTGCCCCGTGCCCCCCGTCCCCATAGGGTGACCACGGGGACACCAGCCACGCTGGGCCTGCCGTGCCCCTGCTCCCCTGGGGGGTGTGAGCAGCAGCCTCCCCCATCCAGCTCTTTACAAAAGGAAGGGGCCCCCTCGCTGCCTCAGTCACCCCCAGCGGAGCCGCCGCCGCTGCACCCGGAGGCCTCAGCACAATTTTTTTCCACGGATCGGAAAGATATTTCTTGGGAGGCGGCCAGTCTCTGACATATCGCTATTCCTACGGATTGCAGTCTTCAGGCCGGCATTGTTTCCTAATAGGTGAGCTGGTGATAAGATTTACAGATAATTAATTAGCACTAATGCGCTTCAAGGTGTGCGGGGGAAGAACCAGTAACCACGGTGAGTGAAAACACCAGGGCTAGGAACCCGGGATCTTTCCTGCTCCCCCTGGCCCAGGCACGTGTGACAAGGAGTCACGCAGCCAAGGTAAGGTACAAACAACTCATTTATCAAATATACCCTCCTCCCTTCCAAGAAAAATGGCCACAAGAGGCCGGACAGCGAGCTGCTCCACGCAGGCAAACAGCATCAGCCTAAAGTGTAAATAAGGATACACAGCAAGATGCCAGTAAAACCCCCTAAAGCCTGTTAAGCCTTGCTCGAGCTGGAGGGATGAGTTTCTCTCGGGTTAAAGTTCCGTGTCACGTAGCTGCCACGTTGGGGACCTGAGCCTCGGAGACACAATGCTGACTTTATTGTAATCACGGTCTGGAGAACACAGAGCTGCTCTCGCCCCCGTGGGAAAACAGGGTTCAGCAGCAGCCCGGCCTCCGCACAGCCCCCACAGAGGCAGAAAGCCTCCAGATCTGCAGCAGCCCATGTGTATTTGTCTCATCGGCCATTTCATCGACCCATCCAAGCCTTATTAAACCTTTCTCTTTCCACCAGGCCCCATTTCATTTACTGTCCTGGGTTGAGTGAATGGTGGAGTTTTTTTGGTGGCAGGGGAGGGGGCTATCGGGGCAGCCCCCTGTGAGAAGCTTCTCGGAGCTCCCCCAGCTCCAAGTCAGCTCCACTTCTGTTTGGGAAATTGAGCCAATCGGCTGCGCCTCTGCGATAACGTATTTAAGAAGGGACGTGGTGAGGAGCAGTGGGACTGGTGAGGAGGAGTTGCTGCAGCTGCATGAACACCAAGGTCAGTGGAGGAACGGAGGAAGAAAGGAGGGGGGAGGTGTGCCGGAGCAGAGACCCCCCTGTATCCTGTGGGGAGACGACAGGGCGGCCCCCCCCCCTGCCACCCATGAAGATCTGCGGTGGAGCAGACACTGAATTATGGCCTGTGGCTTCTGCTTGGTATAATCAAGGTTCTGTGCCCGAAGAAGGCCGGGGTCTCATGGGAAAAGGCAGCCCCACTGCTGTAATTCAGTGCTGGGAGGATTGCAGCATGCGGGGGAGTCCCACGCCGGAGCAGCTCGGGAAGGGCTGCAGCTGTGGGAGGGAATCCAGTCGGAGGAAGTTAGTGACCCATGACGGAGCAGTGTGGGGAACGCTGCGGCCCGTGGGAGGGACTCATGTTGGAGAAAGTTTGTGGAGGACTGTCTGCTGTGAGAGGGGGACCACGATGGAGCAGGGGGAACAAATTCCAGAAACTCCCCTCACCGAACATGAAGGAAGTGGCAGCACTGCCTGCACCCCCCATTCCCTGCCCCTGCACCCCTGGGGGAGGAGGTAGAGATATCGGGAGCAGAGCTGAGCCCGGGAAGAAGGGAGGGGTGGGGGGAAGGTGTTTTCAAGGTGTGGCAATGCTTCTCACTGTCCTACTCTGGTATGTGTTGTTAGTGTCTGTAATAAATGTATGTTCTTTTTTTTCCTCCCCTAACGAGTCTGCCTTTTGCTCGTGATCATAAAGGGGGATTTTCCCCCATCCCAGTCCTATCTCGAACCCCAAGCCTGGTTCTCTGTCCCTTCTCATTGCCGGAGGGGAAGGGAGAGAGAGCTGCTGCGTTGTGTTTGGCTGCCGACCAGGCCCAAACCACGACATTTACTTCCCCTTCTCCAGCTTCCGCAGCAGCATAAGCGGGAGCCTGGCAGATAAACCATGGTGAAATCCTGATTCACAGACCCATCCCGCACGCCACGCGAGGAGTGGGCAACCTCGCCATTGCCGGGCTGTTTCACGAGGCACAGGACGGGGAGAAACCAACCTGCCTGCACCAGCTGCCTCTGCTTGCCCCTCTCATCCCCCCCCCGCGATGCTGCGGAGATCTGCCCCATCCTACAGAGCCTCAGCGTGCGCCCGCCGTCCCTGCCTGCACGTCCAGCCTCAGCATCCCTCCCCTCCACCAAAGACATAGCTCCTGTGTGTCCCTCCAGCTGTGGGGTTTTCTTTCCCAAAAGCTGAGTATTTTGGCTCAAACTTCCCCGCCCCCCTGTTTTTAAGCAGAGGGCGACTAGAAGGAAAGGTTTGTGCCTTGCTGGCCGAGGTTTCGCTAATTTTTACAAGCAGCTGAAGATGGAGGCTTTTAACAGGAACGGTCATCCAACCCGAAGGGGTAGCACTGCCCTCCAAAAGCGTCCCCACAAGCTGGCAGGGGTGCAGCCCCCCGTCCCCTCCTCCCTCCGCGTGCAGTGGGCCACCTCCTGCCGCACCCCACAGACCTACCCAGCAGCAGCAGTGTTTCACAGAATACAGCGTCTTAGAGGGAAAAATGAGGAAATGACCCCCCAAAAAGCCTTGTCCAAAACTTCCCGGCCTCATCACTCCCCAGGCCCCTTGCTGCCCAGCACCTTCTCGTGCAGCACCTCACACATCGCTGACCCATCAGAGATGAGTGTGCGGGGAGAAGAGGAGCAATTCCAAGCAGAAAGCACCAAATCCTGCCATATTCTCCCCAAACGAAATCCCTGCAGATAAAAACATCACGTTTATCCTGACTGTATCCTCTCTGCAACAGTTGGCTGGCGTTCTAGCCTCCTGGAGTCATGCCTAATTCCCTTAGGGAGACTAAGGGGCTGATGGGTGCCATTTAAATGTTTTCCAAGTTAAACTGTTTAAAGCTATCAGAATTTGGAGACTGTAAGGAGAATTTCCTGTTAGGAACGAAAACTAATGTAAAAACATCCAGCCTGCTCTGAAAACTGAAACCTTTTTCTGGTAGCTATCTCAAAATAGCCTTTCTAATCCTCAGTCCACATCCCTTTTCGAATGATCTGGACAAAAATTGGTCATTTCAGTACCCCTAAAATACAGGTAAAATACAAATTAATTACTTGCCTTAAAAAGTTTCTTTGCTGTTTCCCTCCCTCTCTCCCTCATGCAAGCACACATCAGTGCATTTTTAATTTCAAGCTGCAGCTCTGAACAAGCAGGCAGACAGCTAAAGCTTTCAATGTGCGTACGGTGAAACAACTCTCTGTGGCAACCAAGGAATTTTAAGAACCCTTTTCCCTCGGTCAAACAGCTGAATATTTATGCCAAGCTGGAGGACACCTATGTGAAACTCTGCAGTTCATCACATCAACACACCCGCTGAGGGAAATATTGCAAGACCTGGGTTGGTGTCTCTTTTCCAGCACTGGCCCAATGAAACTGGCTGCTGGTTTTGGCGACGATTAAAACTGTGCAATAGTTGATGTTATCTGCCCCGAGCAGGTAACCTTCCACGTTTTGTATTCAGTCAGCAGTCACATGAATGATGAGGCACGGACCAAAGCCCTTCCGAATGGTCTGATTCGTGGTGCCAGCAGCAGAACTTGTGACAGAGAAAAATCCTTGCTCAACATTTTTCTCATGCCATGAGAGTGGGAGGGGGAATCTGAGACATTGCACCATTAAGTCGCCCCAAGGGCGCCCAAGTCTTCCCAAATTTAGGGGTAAATGAACATCTTGAGTGATAAAAAGGGGAGGTTAATGAAGGATGCGGAGGAGGGTGTTGTAGTACAAGCCACTTTGAACAATAAGGAAAAAAAAAATATATATATATTCTTGTGATTAAGGCATATTAGCATCATTAAGACTTGGCTCCTATTCTCAGCTGTGCCACAACCTTCTCGTGCGCGAAGTCACCCGCTCCCCTCGCAGGGCTCCTCACCTCGAATACGCAAACCCCGATCGGCGCCTCGGCGGAGAGCTGCAAGCTGCTGCCCGCAGCACGCCCGGGGAGCCTCGCCGACTGCCACGGCTGCTTCAGCACGGCAATATCTTGCTTGCCTGGCTTCAGAGACTTCTATATTTTTTTTTCCCCCCTTCTTTGGCATTTGCCGTTTTTTCGTCTGTGGGAGGCGAAGGTGGAAG